TGATAAAACCATAAAAAAAAGGCAAGGAAGCAATCACTATAGTGCATACACAGATGATTCCCAACTTATGATAGTTCCACTTCATGATTTTTTGACTTTCGGATCGTGTGAAAGCAATACACATTCAGTAGAAAGTATTAAGATGCTCCCCAATGATGCTGGAGAGCACCATGAGCTGCAGCTCCCAGTCAGGCACATGATCATGAGGGTAAATAACCAACATCCTACAGTGTACTACTGCGCTGCCAGATTTTGCCCAACTCTAGGCTAATGTAACTGTTCTGAGCACATTTAAGGTAGGCTGGGCTAAGCTGTGACGTTCAGTAGGTTAGGTGTATTAGATGCATTTTCAATTTACAATACTTTCAACTTACAATGAGTTTATTGGGTCATAATCCCATCATAAGTCAAGGAGCAATTGTACTACATAATATACTACTTCTTGACCTGCGTGGTGGTCACAAAAAATATTCACCTTACAGTAATTAACTAAGCTATGTACTCTTCATGTATAAATCTGTGTTTTATTTTACAATACAAAAGGTAAAATGAAAAAGACAAAAGCTGAACATGTTTTGTTACACACATACACAAGGTAACAAGCATTGTGCACCATATATCTCCAAAGATTTGCCTGGGTTTGTGTGTTACAAATAAGTTTACATGATAAACTTACAAAATATCAACTCTTCTTTACCTTCAAACTGACGAAAATTGTTTTTTTTCAAGTTCCAAGTTTATTTTTAGTAGAACAGAAAAATAAGTATTAGTTTCCTAATCACAATCAGAAATCATACATTAAAATAAAATTAACCCAACAACGTAAAAGTTGGTCCTTTCTCCCACCTACTTCAATGAAATAAGTTTCATTCATCAAAGGATATAGAAAGACAAGAGTCCACATCTGTGTTTCCCAAAGGAAATATGCAACACTATCATCATATAAGAAAAATCAACAGCATAAAGATATGAGCCCTTTCTAAAAAAAGTTTATCTATACAGTTAAAATCCCAATAATATTAATAGGTTTTTTCTTGGGGGGAAGGGGTGGTGACTAGATACGATTACTTAAAAGTTCATATTTTTAAAAAACACACACACAAAAAAAGTATGAAAATTCTGTAAAATAGGACTTAAAAGTGGGGGGGACTATCCCTACCAAAAAGAAGAAAAACATGTTAAGCATCAAGAGTTAAAACAGTGTTATTCTAGGGTTGGCCAGCTAGCTCAGTTGGTTAGAGAGTGCAGTGTTGGTAGCACCAAGGTCAAGGATTCGGATCTCCATACTGACCAGCTGAAAAAAAAAAAAAAAAAAAAAGCTGATTCTGGTGCAAGGATTGGCAGACAGATCAATGAAACTAAATGGATACTCCAGAAATGGACAAAAATGTATATGGGAATTTATACTACAAAAGAAATCAAAGGAGAAAAGTTGGGATCATTATTGGAATGGCTAGCCAATATGGCAGACTGCTAATTTTCAACTAAAATCCCTTCTTCTTTTCTTCTTGGGTGCAAGGTGACCATCAGAGACTTCATTTCCCAGGCTCTCGTAGCCAGCTGTGCCCATATGACTAAGTTTACTCATGCAAGTCGCAGTGATGTCTGAAACTTCTAACCACTCGCCATGAACTTTCTCCTTTGCCCTTCCCACCAAGGGGGCCCAGATAAGGCAGCAACCCAGCTATGACCATGGAGATAATCAGAGTGACAATTATAAGACAGAAGGAACCCAAGTCTCTAAATGAACAGTGGAAATGAGCTGCTCTGCTGACCTGTTCTGCTCACACTGGGACTGTTAAGTAAGAAAAAATTAAACTTCCATGTTCTTTGAACCATAACACATTTCAGTCCCTTACAGCAATTCAGCCTTACCCTAATTAATAGGGCACCTAGAGAAAAATTAAGTTGGATTCATACCTAACATTCCAAATGGATTAAAGATTTAAATGTAAAAGAAGAACTACATGACACTAAACAAAATCAGGAGACAGGTTTTTAAATCTAGAACTGGAAAAAAGTCTTTTAACTGTAATACAAAGTTTTTAATAACTGCCCAGCAAAGTAATTATTATTGTTAAACAAATGACTAACTGGGGAAAAGCATAAGTAGCAAACACCACAAGGAGAAAAAAGGGGACAATGAACTGATAATAAAAATCAATATTTTGATAATAATAATTGATAACCCCATAGAAAAACAGATAAACACAAGCATAAAGGGAACAAAACTGGAAATATAAATGGCTTTCAAACTTACTCAAAACAAGAAAAATGCAAATTAAAACTACATTAAACTGCCCTTTTTCACCTATTGATTTGGCAAAGAAAAACCCTATCAGTTTGGCAATCACACTGTGATTGGCAAGGGTATGAAGCAGCAGTGTCTTTATCCATCACTGGGTGAAATCTAAAACTTTTCAAGTTCTATTAACAGAGCAAGTTGGCAATAAGTATCTACCAAAATTAAAATGTGCATACCCTTTGACCCAGCAATTGTACTAGAAATGGAACCTACAGATACGTTCACATACGTTTGAAATTGTGTATGTACAAGGTTATCCCCTACAGCCTTGTTCATGATAATAAAAACTAGAAATGATCTATATGCACATCCATACAGTACTGGTTAAATAAATTATAGCACATCTCTACAGTGGAATACAAGGCGCATCTATTAAAACCTGAAACAGGGAGCTGGCCAGTTAGCTCGGTAGCTTAGATCGTGGTGCTGATAACACCAATGTCCAGGGTTCAATCCCTATACTGGCCAGCTGCAAACAAAAACAAAATAAAAAACGTGGTATTAATGTGGAAGAACTTCCAAGAAATATTATTTCAGTGAAAAAAGGTACAAAACCTTGTATACTGTTACCATTTGTGTAAAAAAAATATAATAATTTATAAGTTATGTGCTTGTATATTACATAGGCTCTGAAATCTCTAAAGGAAAACAGAAGAGACTGGTAATGGTGGTTGCTTTTTAGAAGGGTAGCTGGATACTTGGGAGACAAGGAGGAGGGTGACTTATTTTTTCACCCCTCACCCTTTTGTGTTTTTTCAATCTTATATACATTAATTATATTACCTTTCTAAAAGTAAATACTTTACACATTTAAAAAAAAAAAAAAAACACGAATAGGCACTCTCAACACCAGCTATCTGAGAACTTCTCTGGTGAGTCTCACCATTAACCACATTAGGAAACTACTGAGCTGAACAATTTTAACCCTGTTTTATAATCAGGAATCACAGGGTTAGCAATTAACTATAGCCATTATCTCCTTCTCCTCCCTCAAATAAGAATATATACAAAAAAAGTCAGTCTCTTAATGCCACCCCCATTATTCATTACTTTCTCTTAAAACTAATTCAACCTCACACCATCTTAAACAGGCATGACAATATCTCAAAGTACTCAAAGAATGGTAGCCAGAACTAACAACTATGCTACTACATTAACACAGCCTCCAGAAAATGAAAATTTAACATAACTGACACCTCAGTAACAGCCCAAAGCAGTGCATCATCTGCCTTGGAAAATAAAAACTCATAACCTCAGTGACTAAAAGTCCAACATCAACAGTCATGGCCTTGTTTTTTTCCCTAATGTGAAAGTCCCTCCCCTTTAAATTATAGGCTAACTTCTCACTTGAAGACTGGTTATTACTATATTATAGCCATATAAGGAACACTAAGCAGGCATTACTTAGACTGAGATTAAATTCTACTTAAAAGGAAAAATGTCCACAATATATCAAGCAGAGGGAAAAAGCAAATTGCAAAACAAAATGTGTGGTCATGTTCCCCCAATTTTAAAACATAATGGACATATTTTGTTTGAATATAAAAATGTGTGTATATAAAGAGGTCTGTATGTGAAAGTGTGTTGCAAGCCATTAGCCAAAGGTGAAAGAGAGAAGAAATGAAGGAACTTTTATCTCTGTATCTGTACTTTATACTGTTTTGTACTATTCAAAATTAAATCATCAAAAATAAACTTTTACATGAAGAATAGAGAGGTTTTTTTTACATAATAAATTAGACATTCCTTAAAAAACAAAGCACCTGAAAGCTATCAGAGACCTTCTCCAAAAGTGTTAAATCTTTGGAGGCTGCATAGACCAACCTTGGCAGGTTCTAATCCAGACTTCCTTCCTTCTGTCTCAACATAACAAATTTCAAATTACATCCGAGCAATCCCAACATTAAATTCAGAGAGACATAAATACCAAGACTATGCACTTCAGGCTTCCCCTCACAGAAACATCTTACTGATCCTATTCTAAAGTAGGTATTCATATTACCCCATAGCTTATCACAACCTTAATAGAATTTCATTCCAGATAGCAAGACTTCTTTATAGAGATTTCAAAGTACTAAAATATAGTTCTGGAAAAGGTAAAAGTATGGAGACAATAAAAGATCAATGAATGTCAGGGGTTAGTGGGAAAGGAGAAATGAATAGGTGGAGCACAGGGGACTTTTAGGGCACTGAAACTATCCTGTATCATACTGTAATGGTGGATACATTTGTCCCATAGTATATACAACACCAAGAGTGAACCCTAATGTAAACTATGGACTTCAGGTGATAATGATGCATCAATGTATGTTCATTGATTGTAATAAATGTACTCCTCTTGTGTGGGATATTGACAGTAGAGGAGGTTGGAGGGGTGCAAATGGGAACTCTGTATTTTCTGCTCAATTTTGCTATGAAACTAAAACTGCTCTAAAAAATAAGGTCTATTTAAAAGGAAAAAATAAATGTACTGGCCCTGTGAGGTAAAAAGAATGGCACGAGCATTGTAGAGGAAGGAAAATGTTGGTAGTATTTGAACAACTTTGTCAAAGTTAAAGAATAGCTGTGGAGATGCACCCAAAAGAAGCCTACCATCAAGGCAATGCAGGAACTGAGAACTACTAGACTGGTCCTAACTTTCTTATAGTGGGTGTATATAAAGCAACAGAATAATCATTTGTGGCAAAGAATTTACCCTGTAGATTTGATCTCTGCCAGAGAGCATTAGAAGAGGTGATTTGTTGAAATGGCTGTACTGCTGGCTCTGGCAACGCTGCTCTGAGAGCTCTTGGGGAAAGCTGACTCAGCTACCTTGAAGCTGGCTCCTGGTCACATCTGCCCACGGTCCTGCCCTCATTCAGAGCTCCACTCACTCTGTTCCTGGGGAGACTGGGAAGTGGGAGAGGCACTCCTGGAGTCTCCTGGAATGATGAGTTCTCCGGCAGCTCTCACTATGGCAATGCGAGGCTCACAAATGCTCAGGGCTGCAAAGAGAAAGAAGAAAGAAAACCAGCTAAGCAGAAGAAAATTCCACAGTTGTGAATGTGCTGGCTGAAGGAAGTGCACACTTAACAAGCCTTTCAATTTGGACCACAAAACTAAAGCCTATTTACAAGTGAAGCAAATATGGGAAAGTTTGAAAACACTGATTATGCAGTGTGTTGAGGTCATAGATCTATACCATACTGGTCTTTGAATATTTTTCTAAATGACACAAAACCCAGTAAAATTTGTGGTTGGTAAATTTCAAAATCAATGTAACATGTACTCTAGACCTTACCGAAAAAAAAAAATCAAACAAAAAACAATGACGTGTATATTAACTACTACATGAACTTGGTCTAAAAAAAAAAATCTGAGCAGTACAAAACATAGAATGAAAACTCTTCCTCCCTTTCCAGACCACTGGTCTCTCCTAGAAACATCCAATATACCAAAGTAAGCAATTTTTTTGTGTATCCACTCAGAAATATCTGCTTTGGGTCCAATTTCAAGCAATATTCTCAGCAGCAGATAGATCTAGTTCAAAGACTCAAAAAACAATGGTGGGGAAGGAACACAAAGCAGAAGGGAAGGGGTGCTTTAGATAACTAACAAAAAAACAAAAGTCCACCCAAGCTCCCTTTTCCTTTAGCAAGACTTGAAAAACATCAACATTTTTCAAAGGAAGAGGAAATTTTTATTAGAAGCAAATTTTCCCATTCGAATCATTAAGTTATACAAACCACTGAAGAAACTTTTTCCTTTCGGAAAATAGCACCCTTTTATTTTTTAACCTCAAATAGCATTTTGCCAAGAAAACTTTCATGTAAATAAATCTACGCAGAGAACAAACCCAAAATAAAGCATTCCTAAATAATTATGAGGAAAAGAAAATCTCCCCATCTACCCTGGAATTCAAGGCAAATGTTTTATAGCTACTATCAAACCATTCCTCACTTCAGTTTAAAGGAAAGCTCATGATCTATTTGAAAAAAAATCTAGACATGTAAAACGCACACACTAAAAGTAAGACATAAAAATACACACACACACACACACACACACACACCCCTTTAACAAGGTTAACCAGAAATTTGCCATTTTTCAGTAATCATTTAGCAAAATTAAAGAGTAAAATTAGTGGGCATCTCTAAAAACAAACTCATCAGCTGAGCAGCACCCACAAATCCTTGGGTTGAAGAACTAACTGCTGAAATACTGGTATTTTCCAAGATGCTGGTGCCAGAGAAATTTGGCAGAATCACACTAAGGTTGCTTTCCCCTCTGCCAAAGACTGACCACATTTTCAGAGGAGGCCAGCGCTAAACTGTCCTGACTAGGTCACCTATGTCTTTAACATTTAGGTACTGTATCAGCAGGAGGTTTAGATAAGCATGAAAATAAAGCAACACTGGTAGATATTTTCCTGATTCTGTTTTTAAAACTCAGAGACTTTTTTTTTTTAATTACAAAGGTGCCTCTACTTCGCTTCCAACATCCCAGCCCTGCCGTCTATACTACATGCAATCTCTTCCCACCCTTCAAAATGTGTTCAGGTTCTCCTGCTCTGTTCAGCCTTCTCTAAAAGAATCCTGTATATTCCAGATCTTTCTCATTCTAATTCCTCTGGTATTTATACTCTATATGACTCAAACTGGCACTAAATTCTCTGCCATGAACTGGGTTTGCCTCAAAACCAATTTAAAACTAGGTGAAGATCACATATTATTCTTCTATTCCATCTCTCCTTCATCATACCTAGCGTATAGTTGGTGCTCAAGAGTTATTGGATAAAAATCAAATCTCCAAATTAAATATAATTATCCTTTGTTTGAAAATTCATTGGGCTCTCAAATAACCTATAAGGTGGAGTATTATAAGAAAGAACAGGTTGGCAAAATGGTAGCTACAGAGCTGAGCAAGTTCTGGATAATTAACCCTTTAAATGTTCTACTTAGGACCCATCTCCTTATGAGTATCTTTCAAGTTCAAAAGCAAGCTTGGCAGGGGCCGGCCCGGTGGCGCACTGGATAGTGCGCCGCTTGGGAAGCGCGGCTGGCGCTCCCGTCCGAGGGTTCGGATCCCACATACAGACCGGCTCCCGCTCACTGGCTGAGCAAGGCGCGGGAGCAACACCAAGGCTTGCAATCCCGTTGCCGGTCCACGGTCCGGTACGGGGGCAACACTGAGGGTTGCGATCCGTTGCCGGACACGGAAAAAAGACAAAAGACAAAAAAAAAA